GGCAACACCTCATGTACCCTAACAAATGGCTCCATGTGCCACCTATGGCACGCGTGCCTTTGGTTTGTCATCACGGCTATATAGCAATTAGAAAATTAGAATGTTTCCTATCCTTGTTTTTGTCTTTTGCCATCTGACATAATTTGCTGAATAGCGTTTCAAGAGTTCTGCAATGTAGATTATGATGGCAGCAAATGTGATTGCAGTGACAATGCTAATATTAGTTGTCTTTATACTTTCATTACAAGGCTACTTGTAACCCCCACTCGTCACAAATTACTGATGAGGATATTGAAGAAGAAATTAACAAGAGGCTTTACTCACAAGCTTCAAGCAGGCGGTAAGAAGTTGAGGTTGACAAATGAATAGATGCATTTTCAGAATGTTGTTTTTCTACCTGCAATTTCCTTTTTTTTTTTTTTAGGATGAAGTATGAGAGATCCAAGCTTTCAAGTAGATGGATTAAACACAGGGGACCAAGCATTTATCATGCCATTGACTATTATGAAATTGACAATTTCTCAGGAAACTGTGAAAAACCTGACTTGTCTGTCCTTGGGGTAGACATATTCAGGGCTAATTATCAAGGAGCAACAGAGCAGTAATATACTAAAACACTTCAGTAACTTGTTAATCTCATAACTGACACTTACACAATTCATAGAGAATTTTCTTTCTGTTAAACCTAATAATTGGTACTGTTTTGCAGACTTGTTTCACACATGCTAAGCCATGGTTTGTTTAATTGTGTTTTACAGAATGAAGCACAGTTGGTGGGTTCACATTTAATGAAAGATAACCATGGTTTTCTAAACCACTGACACAGATTGTAATATACAGTACTTGGCTAGAATGTAGAGACTTAAACTAAACAAATTTTGTGTGACAGTTGTTGATAGTTGCGAAGTTGTGTCCGACCCATCACGACCCCATGGACAATGTTCCTCCAGGCCTTCCTGTCCTCTACCATCCTCTGGATTCCATTAAAGCTCACACCTACTGCTTCGGTGACTCCATCCAGCCACCTGATTCTCTGTCGTCCTATTCTTCTTTTGCCCTCAATCTTTCCCAGCATTAGGCTCTTCTCCAGTGAGTCCTTCCTTCTCATTAGGTGGCTAATGTGTATGTGACAGTACTTAGCTGCAAGGGGTTGAAGGACAACACAATGTGCTAAATTGTATTTTTTTGGTTGGTACATTTTTAAAAGTTGTGTTAAACCTACTCCACAAATACACTGGTGGTTGGGTTGCTCATCTCAAAATGATGTAAACTGAAATTCAGCAGTGGGAAAAGCAAAATAAAGTTTGAGGAGGCTCTATATAATGAAGGGACCAAGCTGCCCACTGGCTATAAATCATAGAGTACAGACAATTTTGAATAAATTATCAGAAATCAAAGCAAGAAAAATCATATTAAGGTTTAGATGGCAGTGTGAACCAACAGGCGCCTGTTCTCTCATCAAAATATTTCAAACTGCAGGAGTGAAGAACCAAGACTTTCCAGATGTTGTTGGACTCCAAAAGTTCTTGCCAACTTCAGCAAGATGATAATTGTTAGGAATGGTGGAAGTTGTACTCCAATTCAGCTGTTTCTTTAATGTCAAACTTTGATTCAGGAGGTTGCACATGTTTCTTCCTGGGAGACAGAGCTTCCAGCAAACGTGGTATACTCCTTTCTGAAGAATCTACCTTTCAATTCAGGGATTTTGAAGAACTACCATCGTGTGTACGTAGTGGTGGTAGGGAGATTGTTGGTATCGTAGTGGCTGACAATTTCACAGCATCCTGCACAGAGTAAATTATCTGGATCCTTTTCAAACACAGTTCAGGCCTGAGGATGGAATGGAGATAGTATTGGTCACCCCTAGGATAACTTGCGTCAGGACTTAAAGTGCATCTCTTTTGACCCTGTTGGACCTTTTGACCTATTGCTTCCTCAGTGAGTCATTTCAAACTGTGATGTGGTGAACAAAAATCAGCTCAGTGGCCCAACACATGGGATGCAAGGGGTCCATTCCTTCCTCCATTTGTTAAATATAAGAAGTAGCTAGCTGAAACCATTTCACCATCTTATTCCTTGTAGGCTGATGATACCCAATCTATATATCACTATCTCAGGCTGTAAGGGAGATACTATCAATGTCCTTTCTCAATGCCTGGAGTCTCTAAGCATCTCGATGGGAAAGAACAGGCTGAAGATGGAAGCCTAGTAAAAATACAGTAGCAGTTTGTACATCAGAATCCTCCATTGCCATCATTTTTTGATAGGCAGGCACTACTCATGAAAGAGCATGTGTGCAATATGTGAGTCATTCTGGATACGCATCTTCTGCTTTAACGATAGATAGAAACCATGGCCAGAGGGATCTATGCACAGCTTTGGCAGGTGCACTAATTACAGAAATGCACTAATTGGAGTAAGGAGGACCTGGCTAAAGCAATTCATGCTCTCATTACCCTCTGAAAAGACTGTCACAATGTGCTTCACATGGGCTTTAGAAGTTACCAGGAAACTCAAATGGTCCATAAAGAGGCAGCTTGCATGTTTCCTTGCTCTCACAGCTGGGAGCAGGTAACACTAGTTCTCCTGGCCCTGAATTGGCTATCAGTTGACTACTACATAGAATTTATAGTGCTGGTTTTTGACTTATAACCCTACTTGTCTTGGCATTTAAATACCTCCAGCACCAGCATCAATCGGCCTCAGACTAATGTATTAGAACATCCAGGGAGAAATGGCATGCCACGTTTCTGAAAAGACGTCACATGTATGTGTGTAGAATCTAGAAAGTGCTGGGTTTTTTTGGTTGTAGAACCAGCAGAATAGTCTCCTGCTGGAGATCAGGTTAAGCCTCTCCTTGCTGGCTTTCCACAAAATGTTAAAAACCGTATTTTGGACATCAGTTTATTAAATTTACATTGAATACTATCTGGTTCTTGATTTTTGTTTTACTTTTGTATCCTTTTTAATGGTCGTGTGTCAGAAATTTATTGTGGTTATTGAGATTGGTTTTAACCTGAGCTTGGAAGTTTTAATCCTTGTTTTCTATATACTGTAAACTACCAAAAGACACTTGGATTGTGACAGGGTAAACTTTTTATCTGAACTATTCACAAAATGTGGAACTCAACCTTAGTTTTGTTTGTTTTACTTCACTTTTTATTTTCAACTTTTTTGCATTGTTTCTTACTGTGCAATACTCAAACATATTCACCTCTATTCTATTCCCCTAGTTCAAACTAGTGTCCTTACCTATCAACTCAGCTTTATTCTTAATTCTTTTTTCCTCAAACTACCACAATAAAATACTTAATTGACCTTTAACATTTTGGATTTAGTAGACTAAATTTATGTGGTACTGCACATAGATACAATCCTACTCCCAATTTACCACATATAAAATGCACAAAAGGTCACGTGCAAAATCCTAAATTCAAGACCACTGCTTTAAGGGACGCCTTTTCCCCACCAGCTCATTAAAGCAAAGGTCTTGTGTTTTGTCACTATCACCATAAATTTTTAATCCAATTCTTCATTAATGACCTGCTCACACTCTCTAGCAAAGCTAGCACTTTCTGCTGCGTTATCATAAAGGTTCTTTTGAAAGCTTTTTACCTTTCAGAAATTCCCAGTTTGTTTCTAAGTTTTTCATTTTAGTTGGAATGAAGCTACCAACATCTGCTTATATTTTTGGGGGGCTGTCATTTACTATGGTTGAAATTTGAAGATTAGCAAATTTATTCAAGAAGAGTTATTTGCAATAGCAGTCTTGAAGAGTATCTCTTTGTTTTGGTCAATTCGTAAGAATAGAATTTTTTCTTTTCTTGCTGCCATCAAATGTAACAATATTGTTAGTTTGACCTGCGTGCATGCCTGTTTCAACACAGCATGTACATAGAGAGGGAAAACAGGGTGAAGAGTACCTGTGATCCATAGGGATTCATATCAATTGTATCAGGAACCTTTTTCTGGCCTGATCACATTTTTGAATACACACACACACAAATGTGATCCTTATTCACACACACAAACATATGTATGTATGTGTGTGTGTGTGTGTATGTATATATATATATATGTATGTGTGTGTATGTATGTATATATGTGTATATATATGTATATGTATGCATATATATATATATATATATATATATATATGTATGTATATATGTATGTATATATATATGTATGTATATATATATATGTATATATATATATGTATATATATGTATATATATATATGTATATATATG